TCTCGTCTCTCCCCTGTTCCTACTGGACTAGATCAGCCGATGGCGACGGCGCGGGCCGAGAGCGGGCCGGCGAGATAGCGCACGCCTCCGCACTCTCCCCTCCCCTCGCCGCGGCCCATGGACGCTCTCGCGCCCGCCCCCACCCGCCGCCGCCTCCTCGCCGGCGCGGCCGCCGCCACCGCCGGCTACGGCCTCTACCGCCTCTACCTCCACCACCGCCGCCGCATCGCCGCGGCGCTCTCCCTCGCCAACGCGCTCTCGCAGGCCGGCTCCGACCTGGCCGACTTCCTCCGCTCCGACTCCGACCAGGTGCCCCGCAGCCTGCGCCAGCTCTCCAAGCTCGCCGCCTCCGACCACGTCTCCTCCGCCGCCTCCGCCCTCTCCGAGTCGCTCGCCTCGGGGGCCCTCCGCGCCTTCTCCTCCCACCGGGCCCCGGATCCTTCCTCCCCGCCGCTGCACGACCGGATCTTGGACCGCCTCCTTTCCCCCGCCGGCGCCGGGTTCGCCTCCGCCGTCCTCGGGAGCTTCGCCAGGAACCTCGTGCTCTCCTGCCGTGATCCCGAGGCCCCGCCCCGCGCCCCCGGCCAGCCGGACTGGCTCGCCGCGCTGTGCAGCGACAGGGGCAAGGAGGCCGCCGCGGAGCTCGTCCGGGTGTTCGTCAGCACCGCCGTCGCCGCCTACCTCGACAGGACCGCCGCCGTGCGCACCTCCGACCAGGTGCTCGCCGGCGTCTCTAACCCCAAGCACGACGCCAAGCTCAAGGACCTGCTCGTGTCCGTCTGCAACGGCGCCGTCGAGACGTTCGTCAGGACCTCGCGGCAGGTCACAAAGGAGGCCTCCATTTCTCGAGCTGAAGCAGCAGTGGCGGCGCGAGAGGTCTGCAATTCAGGTCCTAGCTGTGTAATGGAGAGAGTATCGACCACGTTGGCCATGCCAAGCAACCGGAGGTTTGTGCTGGATGTTACTGGCAGGGTCACCGCCGAGATGGTCCGGTCATTCCTCGAGTTCTCGACTCAGCGCGTGTCCGCTGGTGCACGAAAGAGCATTGTCATTGCCCGGGATGAAATCACCGAAAGGGGTCTTGTCGCGGTCAAGTACCTGAGCGCCAAGTCCATGGCCATCTTCACCTTATGCCTCACAATGTGCATGCACATTTCGGTTGGAATGAGGTTCCCGTTGCCGGCCTAGGCATAGCCTGGTGTGGACTTCAAGGTGACATTGTTCCAGTTATCCTGATTGTAGTTGGAAAGTAAAGTATGTAGATTGCAAATTGATCGTTTGCTACTGCTAGCCTTTTTTCTGTGCTGTTGACTAGCATTTGGAAGCAGAATCTGTTGGAATTGTAGTTGTTGGTTTGTTGTTTGTGATAGTCTGATAGGGAGTATATAGGCCACGAATGGATAATTTTGCAACTTTAGTGCAAGGTTTCATATGTATTATGGTGTTGTATCCTAGTGTCTTTGCCATCTTTTCTGAAGGAAGTAGGTGTCAGTATCTTATTGATGCTGACTAGTGATGTTCTTCAGCACTCTGTGTGTGGATAAGCTATTTTGGGCAACAATAGCATGAAACTTGTCCACTTATGTTTTTCATTCTCTTTTTGCCTTGATTTGGGGAAAAGCAAATATGAATTGATCAGAGATTTGTGCCTGGATATTTTGCGTTCTGACTTCTCTTCTTAGTAGTGTTTTTATTCTAGTTCAGTTGTTGAATGTAATGTGTCATTTATAAGTTGGGAAAATAGATAATTGCATATGTCCTCTTGAATCAGTTCAACTGGATGATGTAATCATTGATATGGACATTTGGTCTATTATAGCTGTCTCTCGGCAGTTGACCTTTGATCATTAGGTAGTGATGTTCCTTTTCGAGCCATGCGACTGAAGTCATATGTGTCCTCTATCCACTATTAGAGGAAAATACTCAGTAGACTGGGTTTCTCGACTCCTCACTTTCCTTTACCATAACATCCAGATTGCTACTGAAAGGAAAAAGAATCCAGATTCCAAAGCCTGACTTCTGGTCACAAGAGAAACATGGTTAGATTGATCAATTTGGGTAAAGAGAAGGTATCATTGGGGTGTCTAATGCAATCTTAATTAGTAATGGACATATAACAAGATTAAGTATTGGGAATGGCCATGGGTGGTATAGGGAATGGGTGCGAAACTGGTTTGTATTTCTCATGTGCAGTAGAATATGCATCCATATTGGATCTCTCGTCTCTGCCTGGAAGACTGGCGCTGCCGCTGCCGCTGCGTCTGAGCTACCTATTCCGCTGCACATGTCAATGGGCCCACCGCTGGGCGATTGGCAGTGGCGTTGGGCGCATTTCTGGTCTATGCGTCGTACATGCACCGCACGGTGGCTCGGCCACCTTCTCCACTGCACACTGGTGAGGGTTTCAAATCTGCCAGGCCCTCTCATTAGCAGTAGATAGCAATGCAAACATTTTTTTTTTCATTTACTCGCTTATGAGAAGGAGTACAACATACAGCTATTTGATGTTTACTTGGGAATACACTGCCCAGTTTCTCAAATCAATGTGGAGGATTGGTTCTGACCTCTGCCTTTGCTCTTCCGCTCGCTAGAAATTAAGATTTACAGTCATATAATGATACACTGGTAGCAAAGCAGAATGCTTAGTAAGCCATCAGTCGACAGATCTTGGTACAGAGCTTTGCTCAAATTTCTAAACCTGGTATAACTATTGGCTGCAGATTATTTGGCACAAAGAAAAAACATTTCGGAGATCTGCTGGGAGCTGGAAGTCATTTCTGAAATACTTGTAAGTTGCCATTACCTCAGAATGCTTTCATGTTGATGCACCTTTCCATTGATTTCTGAATGTGCCTCTTCATTAGAATGATCTTACCCAGTATGCCCCAAAGAAGAATGTACTACTCCCTCCGTTCCAAATTACTCGTCGCAGAAATGGATGTATCTAGAACTAAAATACATCTAGATACATACCTGCGACAAGTAATTTGGAACGGAGGGAGTACTTGTGATTGCATTTTAATAGGGAATGTTTTTATCTAATTTACTGCTTTAGAAGGTCTGGTCCTGCAAAGTAAGCTGAATTATATACACACAACAGGACAAAATTTCAGCATCATACATCATGATGATTTCTGGTTAAATTCCAATCATATAGCCGCCCCTACAATTTTAGTCCATTTACGGGTCAAATCGGATGGGGTGTAATCAGCTGCCTCAGTTGAAAGTTGAACCAGGTATTGCCCACAGCAAAATGCAGACCAGGAAACGTGGGTTGAATTAAGTGATCACATGGTGTGCTGCAAATGCAAACTAGAATTCCAACTTGATCAGGGCCCCAAGGATAAGGCATGCCCAGAAACCATGGGTTCTGTCAGCCATCAGCCCTTTCATGCCAAAACACATTTGAGACATGCTGGTATGGATGGCTGGTCATATAATTTTTTAGCTTAATGCCTCTAACAGGTGAAGTAATAAGTCTACAGTACATCAACAATCATGGAGCTGGAAGCATTGGCTCCACCGCACCCCTTACTGATAACCAAAAATCTGGTCCCAAAAAAATCTGATCAAATGATTTGTCACGTTGTCTGCATCTGCAATATTGCATGCAGAGCACTCATGGCCTTGTCTCCTGTAGTCCTGCCCACCACCTTTTCTGGTAGCTACACATAACCCATCCCTTGAACTATAAATCCATGATCTGCTCAACACAACTTCTTCATCTGCAAACAACACCGCAATCTGTGAAAAGCTCCATCACACCATCAGAGCAGAAGTGCAATTTAGCCAAGAACACATAACAGCCATGATCTATTCAAAGAAGCTTGCTCAACTTGCCAAGAAGTGGCAGAGGATGGTGGCAATCGGTGGCCAGCAGACTGCAGGCACCGACGGATGCTGCAGCACCACCTCTGTCGCAGACAGGGGCCATTGTGTCATGTACACTGCTGATGGGTCTCGGTTCGAGGTTCCGTTGGTGTACCTTGGCACAATGGTCTTCAGTGAGCTCCTGAGGATGTCTCAAGAGGAATTTGGCTTCTCCAGCGATGGCAAGATCACAGTACCTTTTGATGCTTCTGTGATGGAGTATGTGATGTGTTTGATTAGGAGAGATGCCTCTGAAGAGGTTGAAAAGGCGTTCCTGAGCTCCATAGCAAGGCCTTGCCACAGTGCGAGTTGTGTAGCTTCAGTGAGACTTAATCAGCAATTTGCTGTTTGTAGCTAGTGATAAATGTTTTTGTTCAGTTGAATGTAAATTGAAGAATTGTAGGGAATGAAAGGAATATACTGATTTTCTCTTGTCTTAGCAGACCAGTTGATAATTTCACTGAAAATTTTGACATCCTCATTATTATTTATACCCACATCTTTGGTGTTGGTACTCGCTAAATGTTCTAGATAGGACTCAGTCAGCTAGTAGACTGACCGACTTCATTGCTGAACTTTGTAAGACGTTTGCATGAGTTGAAAATTAGATGGTTAGACATTGTTAAGCAAGAGTTGTTCAGAAAGAAATATGAACCTCTCGCTTTCTGTTTTGTTTGTTTGTATTTCTTTTGTTGTGTAAGTTCCTGTTTTGATCAATGAATTTAGCAGCTTTCCTGCTATTTTCCATCAAAGAGATATGATTGCTTCAGGTTTTAACTGAGATATATGGTCCAGTAGAACTGATTACCGCTCACCAATGATAATAAGCTAGTTGTAGTCCTGTAGGACCGTATAGGAGAGTGTAAGAAGCAGCGACGAAATGGAGCTCACATGAGATGCTACTAATCAAACAGACAACCAGCAAAATATTTTATGAAATTGCCGGGCAAGCTGTTCACTTATTTGAACCACTAAACGCATTAAAACTGGCTGTTCAGAAACAATGGGCATGGAAAACCGTCAGACTATGTATCTCACTCTGAGGGGATACCCAAATATTTAAATAATTTATATCTCATCTCCCGCAGAACTGTTCCTCACTGTTCACATGTTGGACCCAACTTACATGTAGTCCTCATGAAGCATACCCCTGATCCATTAAGCAGGTCAGTATGGCGGCACATTGTGATATCCAATTGCCCAAACACTACCACTGCTGTCTGTAACAAGTGCCAAAGGGGCCTCTAAACATTGCATGTTTGAAGCTCATGGCCTTGTCCCTTGCCAGCTTGCTTTGATAGCTCCACTTAAGCTGCATGCCTATCTTCCGCCCACCTATAAATATTCAGCTCTGAACCACAGGTTCCATCCACAAGCAAAGCACTACCACTAGCTTAGCACTCGACACAAAACTCTGAGCTTTCTGCCAAGAAAGAAGGTGATACAACCATGGTCAGTGCCAAGAGACTTTCTCAAATGGCAAGGAAGTGGCAAAGAGTGGCAGCCATCGGGAGGAAGAGGCTCATGTGGACTTCAGCAAAAGAAGTCGATGAGTGCTGCACGTCTGTGGCAGTGAAGGGCCACTGCGCCATGTACACTGCTGATGGGAGGCGGTTTGAGGTGCCATTGGCGTACCTCAGCACGACGATCATCGGGGAGCTCCTGAGGATGTCTCAGGAGGAGTTTGGCTTCACAAGCGATGGAAGGATAACCCTGCCTTGTGATGCAGCTGTGATGGACTATGTCATGTGCTTGCTCAGAAGGAACGCATCAGAAGAGGTAGAGAGAGCTTTCTTGAGCTCTGTGGTGAGACCTTGCCACTATGGAAATGGTTTGGAGCCATCTATTGGAGTTAGCCAGCAAGTAGCTGTTTCTGGCTTCTGAGGATTCAGTGTTCGTTTTACCTTCTTTTGTCTGTCCATCCTTTTGGATGATGTAAATAGTTCTATGTAGGAGATAGGAAATGAAAGAATCATATGGCAAGTTGACCATTTGACTCTTGTCTTGACTTCTGTCTGCTTAGTTCCTCAACTCTGTTTGTCTGGCGAATTAAGATAAGGCTCTATTGCGTAAGGCAGCAAACTTCAGACTAAAGTTGATGCAAGCACACCAAACTTTGAACAGAGGTTGGTACTAGTTTAGCAAAATGGTATGCAATCATGGCCATGTAAAGTTATCTTTTGCAATAACTGTTACAAGTTACAACCTCTTAATCACCAATTTTATTCTAGGCGGTCAAAACTAAAAAAGAAGGCAAGAAAATCCTGTTCATAGGAAACTGTAAGAACAAAATGTGAAGTGGAGTTCACATATGAGATGCTGCTAATCAAACAGACCATCAACTAATTAAAGAAGTGATGTGAGATTATTGAGCAAGCTATTTGGACCACTGAAGACCTTGAATCTGGTGGTTCAGCAACAACTCTTTATGGTCATAGCCAACTTTGAGACTATATCTCCCACCTCAGGGGCCACCCTATATATGTAACCAGGATATAAGCAAGCAGTCAAATAATTTGTATCATGATGCACAATCACAAGAGAGTATACATTGTCAGTGATCATGTGACAGATCCTTGCACAAACTGAATGCAAACTAAGAAATTCTGAATAGATATGGCTAAATCTTGTATAACTATTGCCTGCAGGTTATTTGACATGGGATGCAGTATTTCCAAGATCCGCCAAGGGCCAGAAGTTACTCTCACAATGCTTGTAAGCTCCCATTACCTCTGAATGTTTTCATTTTTTCACATGCATAAGTTGATTTCAGACTCTGCTTTTTCTATAGACTATTCTGAAAACAAGGTCTCAAAGTAGGATGTAGTTGTGATTGCGTTTTATGGATTGTCCTGCTTGTGTACTGTTTCAGAGGATCCAATCCTGCATATACAGCTGAATGATATCCAACATTTTAACATGATACATCATGATGGCACCCAGGTTATGACTTGATTGAAATTAAGTGGATACAATAAAAAAATAAGTTAAATTAGACTACTTACTATTTCAGTCTACTAATATATTCTGTGTATATGCAAAGATAATATAATACAAAAACTCTAAGGTGCCGTAGAAAAATTATATGTTATTTCTTTTATTTTCTATATCGGAGGGGTTTGTTCGAAGAATATCAAATAGATGCACTAGAATTTTGGTCTATTTAGGTGCCCCTATAGATCCAGCAGTCTTGTTTTAAAGTTGAAACAATACACAATATCCAGAGGAAAATGAAAACCAGGAAACATGGCTTGAACGAAGCAATCGCGTGACCCCACTGCGAATGCAAATTATATATTGAATGCTGACATGTTCAGGGCCAGAAGCATAGGTGGTACACATGAACCATGAGTTCTACCAGTCTTCTCACGCTGCAACACATTCGAGACATGGTGATATGGAGGGCTGATCCATGAAAAATATCTTAGCTTTTTTAACCATTGCGCGCGCCAGTACTACAGTACACTTTCATTTAACCAGTATTGGTTGCTGCATCACATGCCATACAACTGGCCTCATCAAAATCTTATCAAATCAGACTGTCTCTTCAGCATTGCACATGCCATGTTTATAGCCTTGTCTCCTGTGGTCCTGTCCACACTTGTGCTCATAGCTACACCTAACCCTTCTACTGCTCTCTTCCTTCAAATATAAATTCACAGTTTGCTCACACAACCACTTCATCCACGAACAAGATAGCAATCTAAGCGTCACACCTTCCTAAGAAAAAGAGCATTTTAGGAAGAACACCACAGAACCATGATTTCCAAAGAAGCTGGCTCAACTGGCTAAGAAGTTGCAGAGGCTGGTGGCAGTTGGTGGCCAGGAGACTGCAGACACTGACGGATGCTGCAGCACCGGTTCCGTTGCAGACAGGGGCCATTGTGTTGTGTACACCGCCGATGGATCGCGGTTTGAGGTCCCATTGGCTTACGTTAGCACAATTGTCTTCAGAGAGCTCCTACGGATATCTCGGGAGGAGTTTGGCTTCACCTGCAATGGCAAGATCACATTGCCCTGTGATGCCTCTATGATGGTATACAGTGCGAGTTGTTTGGCGCCATCAGCTGGATTTTATCAGCAACTTTCTGTTTGTAGCTAGTAGTATATGTTTTTGTTCAATTAGATGTCAATTGTCAGGACAATAGGAAATACAACAAAGATACCTATTTTCTCATCTTAGCAGACTGCTGTGAATTTTCTGGAAATGTCAGTTTCCTGTGATTATTCCATCAGCATCTTTTGTGTTACTACTCGCTCTTGATAAGATTCAGCAAGCTTTCTTGTGAAAAAGAAGTCAGCCTGCTGGTCAGTCAATTAGTTTCGTTGATGAATTTTGTAAGACGTTTGAATGGGCAGCCCCAGTGCATGTAGCTCCCGCTTGCGCAGGGTCTGGGGAAGGGTCCGACCACTTTGGGTCTATTGTACGCAGCCTTTCCCTACATTTCTGTAAGAGGCTGTTTCCAGGACTTGAACCCGTGACCTCATGGTCACAAGGCAGCAGCTTTACCACTGCGCCAAGGCTCCCCTTCTTTGTAAGACGTTTGAATAACTTGAAAAAAATAGTCAACGAAGAATTTGAAGCTGCACTTACGTTTGCTAAATTGTCAAGCGATGATGAAAGAAGAAAAAACTAAGGGCTTAAACCTTGATTACATAAGTGTCAAAAAGATGAACTTGAACTGGAACCAACCACGACATGAACCTCCTTTCTTTTGTTCCATTTGCTTGTTTCTCATCTGATCGTGTTGTAAATTCCTGATCTGAGTAATGAACTTGGCAGCTCTCCTGCTATATTGGAAAAAGAGATACGATTGCCTTGAGTCTCAACCTAGAAATGTGGTCTACATCTGCAATGCTAGCTAGGTGTTGTTTTGTTAAGCAGCGCTTTGGTTGTTGCGAGACTAGCAACTTGCTGGACAGTTCATACGGTCTGCATGAGTTCTTAGTCCCTGCTACTTCCTTATAGGATCCTAATGAAAAGCACAATTTTGTGCTGGATCGGGGCATTATATTAGTAATCCCATTTGGATGGATTTATCAGATTGGGGGATATTATTGCTTGGCAGTTTTGTAAATTCACTCAAATGACTAAACCTGGTATAACTATTGGCTGCAGATTATTTGGCACGAGGACAGCATTTGAGAGATCTGCCGAGGGCTGGAAGTCATTTCTGTAATACTTGTAAGTTCCCATTACCTCAGAATGCTTTCATGTTTACGCGCTTATTCATTAATTTCTGAATGTGCCTCTTCATTAGAATGATAATCTGACCCAGTATGTCCCGAAGAAGAACGTACTTGCGATTTTATTTTAGTTAAGGGATGTTTTCTCGAGCACTGCTTTAGAAGGTCTGGTCCTGCAACCTAAGCTGAAATATATATGCACAATGGGACAAAATTTCAACATCATGAAATGGGAGTTCACATGAGATGCTACTAATCAAACAGACAACCAGCAAAAGGTTTTATGAAATTGCCAGGCAAGTTGTTCACTTGTTTGGACCACTGAACACATTAAAACTGGTTGTTCAGAAACAATGGGCGTGCAAAACCGTCGGACTATGTATGTTGGATTCGCCGGACTATCGCCTGAGATTTCCTGCGCTACAGTAAACTCACAAGAGAAATGGAAGGCTATGGACTGGCAATTTTCTGGAAGGGTATCGAACACTCTCCATTCCTTCTCAGAGTTAGATAAGTACACGATACATTTTACATTTTGGTCCTTGCCAAACTTCTACCTTTGCTTACAAGTACTACCAACACTCCCCCTCAAGATGGGGCAAATATATTTATGAGCCCCATCTTGCTACATAATTTTTCAAAAGATACAACACTAACACCCTTTGTTAATACATCTGCAAGTTGATTTTCAGATCTAACAAAGCCAACTTGGAGAAGTCCCTCGTCTAACTTTTCTTTTATGAAATGTCTATCAATTTCGATGTGTTTAGTTCTATCATGCTGGACTGGATTGTGTATTAACTTGATTGCAGCCTGGTTATCACAAAAGAGTTGCAGTGGTCCTCCATCAAACAGCCTAAGTTCAGATAATAGTATCCCCAACCACATCAATTCACATAATCCTGAAGCCATGGATCTAAACTCTGCTTCAGCAGTAGATCGTGCCACCACACTTTGTTTTTTGCTCCTCCAACTAACAAGATTACCACCAACGAAAACACAGTAGCCAGATGTAGACCTTCTATCGTCTAGGCACCCAGCCCAATCAGCATCAGTAAAACCCTCTATTTTTAAGTGTCCATGATTAGAAAATAGAATCCCTCTTCCCGGACAACTTTTAAGATATCTTAGTATTCTGTGCACAACATCTAAATGACTTGATCTCGGGTCATGCATAAATCTGCTCACCAAGCTAACTGCATAGGCAATGTCTGGCCTAGTGTGTGATAAATAAATTAGCCGTCCTACTAACCTTTGATATTGATGTTTGTCCACAGGATCACCAGAATCTGCTAGAATACGATGGTTCTGCTCAATTGGAGTTGTCGCTGGTCTACAATTTTGCATGCCAGTTTCCGCGAGTAAATCAAGTACATATTTTCTTTGTGATAAGTAAATACCTTGTGATCCATATACAACCTCAATTCCCAGGAAATAATGAAGAAAACCTAGATCCTTAACTTCAAATGACCTGGCCAACATCTTCTTTAGGGATGCTATGCCATCATCATCATTACCTGTGATCACAATATCATCAACATACACAATAAGGATAACAATCTTGCCACTCTGGTACTTAAAGAAAAGGGTGTGATCTGCATTGCTTTGTCGATAACCCATAGAGCATATCTCCTTTCTAAGTCGTCCAAACCATGCTCTAGGTGACTGTTTCAAACCATATAGAGACCTTTTCTGCCTACACACTTTACCCTCTGTTTCTTGTGTACCAAACCCAGGGGGAATCTCCATATAAACCTCTTCTTTCAAATCTCCATGAAGAAAAGCATTTTTAACATCCATTTGAAATAACTTCCACTTATTATTTGCAGCTATAGATATGAGGGCCCTAATGGTGTTCATTTTCGCCACTGGTGCGAAGGTCTCATCATAGTCCACTCCATAAGTTTGACTATACCCCTTTGCCACTAACCTGGCTTTATATCTTTCTACTTTTCCCTCTGAATTTTGTTTTACAGTAAATACCCATTTACAACCAACAGCCCTTTTGTTAGGAGGAAGAGTAGTGAGTACCCAAGTATTATTTTTATCAAGTGCTGTCATCTCCTCTATCATAGCAGCTTTCCACTCCGGATATTGTTTCGCCTCCTGCCAATCACGTGGTATAGGTAGAGTGGAATCGAGTGCAGCTATAAATGATTTATATTGGGAGCCCAATGATACATATGAGACATAATTAGAAACATCATATTGAGATAGATTTGGTGGTAATTTCCCTGCAGTGGAACGTGGCTGCTTTCTGCGAGCGATAGGAATATCTAACTCATCCAATAGTAAGGGAAGCGTACCATCGACTTGTGGAGATGACTCATGCACATCTGATTGTGTCACACTTGGCAAGGTTTCTTGTGTTTGTACTGCAGGAGTTTCTTGAGCTTCATGATCACACCTAGATGGGATAACTTCTCAGATCGGTGTCTCCTTTTATACACCTGAACTTCTTGTTCTTCATTTGGTTTTGGCCACTTAACAGCTTCATTTGATTCATCTCGTAGCTCCCCCTGCGTCTGTTCCTGTTCAGCTCCTGATGTACCTTCATCTTCACCGTTATACATATCTGCAGCTGGAATCACTCCAACAATCATATTCCTGGATGCTGCTTCATTATATTCTTCACCTTTATCTTCTCCTGTCTCGTTGTCCAGATCTGTAGCATCATTAACATATAAATCAGGAAAGACATCAGTTAAATCTACTGGTTCCCCATAGAAAGGTTCATGCTCCCTGAACACTACATCCATGCTCACAAACATCCGCTTTTCAGATGGGCACCAACATTTATAACCCTTCTGTTTTCCAGAGTATCCCACAAATATACATTTCACTGCTCTAGGGTCAAGCTTCCCAACTGATGGTCTATGATCCCTCACAAAGCAAACACATCCAAACACCTTTGGTGGCACCACATATGTAGTCTTACCCGTTAAACACTCGATTGGTGTCTTGTTGTTAAGCACCCGAGATGGCATTCTATTCATTAAATATGCAGCTGTCATCACAGCCTCACTCCACAAATATTTAGGTACATTCATAGCCAACATTATACACCGTGTGATTTCCAAAAGATGTCTATTCTTCCTCTCCGCCAGACCATTTTGCTGGGAGGTGCCTGGGCAACTAGTTTGATGGATAATTCCAAAGCTTGACAGGTACTCATCAAATTGGTTATTTACATATTCTGTACCATTGTCAGTTCGGAATATTTTCACCCGTGCATCATATTGATTTATGATTAGGTTGTGGAAATCCCTAAAGCATTCAAACACATCACTTTTATTTCTCAATACATAAACCCAAGTAGTCCTAGTGCAACAGTCGATGAATGTAACAAATGATTTGTATCCATAAAGTGACCACACCCCACTAGGACCCCATACATCTGAGTGGATAGTTTGAAATGGCACTGTACTTCTGTGATCAGATGAAATATATATACTACGGGTTAGCTTCCCGTACTGGCAGGCGTCACATACTAGACTTTCCTTGCAAATTTTATTATATAGGTTAGGATACAACTGACCCAGGGTGTTAAAGGACATGTGTCCCAGCCTGCGATGATGAAGAAGAAATTCTTGCAATGATGACTGAGACAGAACAATAGCAGCCACAGGTGCCATATCAGGTGCCATATCATCATCTAGATAGTATAGACCATCTCGCATAATTCCTGATCCAAGCTTTTTTCCTGTCCCAAGTTCCAGAAATAAACACCATGTTGGGAAGAAGATTACAGCACAATTGAGTTCTCTTGTAATGCAGCTGATGGATAGCAAATTGATTGGGAATGAGGGAACATGTAAAACAGATGACAGAGTCATATCTGGGCAACATTTAACTGTTCCTACCCCCCTAATACTCTGGCCAGAACCATCAGCAAGTCTAACATTTTGCCCTGTAAAATCAGGAGTATAACTGCAGAAATCCTTATACGAACCGGCCATATGTTTAGACGCACCAGAGTCTATTAACCACTGTGTACCAGCCTCAAAATAACTTCCTTTCACAAATTTCGAAGTATCACCACAGGGGTTAGCAGATGTAGCAAATATCTTGGTTGTTGACCTTTCATCAATGGTTCCTTCCTTGAACTGAAGCCACTTCTTCAACTCATCGGTAGTCATTTGGACAGTAAGAGTCTGAGATTTTTCACCATTTTTAGTTGTCCCCATTGCACTAACATCAGCAGGGCGTGCTACCCGACAGCGATTACAGACACCTCGGAATGCAAAATTTACATTCTGACATCTTGTATTTGGACACAGCCAATCCCCTTCTCGCTGCCATGATTTTGCAGTACCACTACCACATCCTTTACCTCTACCTGAACCATCGTCCCTTGTAGCAGTGACTCCATCAACTACGCTGCAATATCCACCTCTAGTACCAAATGAGTAAACACCACAGTTAGTGTTCCTTCTCACTTCCATTGTTGAACCGAGGCTCGTCTTCAAGCTACCTTCTCCAAATTGTGTAGTCCGGCTGTCAACTGCTTCTCTTCAGACCAACCAGCCAAAACACGCACTGAGTCTGAATATAGGTTCAATTTCTTCTTGCTCCTCTCCTCTTGCAGCACAGCAAGCTTTGGAGCTCTCTGTCTCTCCCCTGCTTCTCTGTCTGCTTTCTCTGCTGCAGCAGTCACGAACAGAATGAGACCTTCTTCTCTGCTCGTGTGCGCACGCTGCGCCCAAATCCTGTACCTTCCGAGAGCAGCACTCCGACCACTCCTGGCCGCACGCTCCTCTCCTCCTGCGTGAGGCACCAGGCACTGCTCTTCCTACTCGCACCTGTGCCGCTGCTCCTAGCTGCTAGTGAGACCTCCTCCTCCCTGTTGTACGCGCAGCCCCGCACGCCCGCAGCTTGCCTCTACCATCAGCACGCGCTGCCCTCACCACGCAACCTCTCTGTTGCCAGCGCCGGTAGCCGCCGGAGCCACCGATTCAAGCAGCGCACGTCCGCCTCCTGCTGCTCGCCGATTCGCCGCCGCACACCTCCAGGGACCGGCTTCAACAGCTCCCCTTCAGTGCTTCCACTGCCTCAGCACGGCCCAGCGCCACCGGCACATCCACCGACGGCCGAATCATCCCCAAGCTCTGATGCCATGTTGGATTCGCCGGACTATCGCCTGAGATTTCCTGCGCTACAGTAAACTCACAAGAGAAATGGAAGGCTATGGACTGGCAATTTTCTGGAAGGCTATCGAACACTCTCCATTCCTTCTCAGAGTTAGATAAGTACACGATACATTTTACATTTTGGTCCTTGCCAAACTTCTACCTTTGCTTACAAGTACTACCAACAATGTATCTCAATCTCAGAGGATATCTAGATCTTCCAATAATATCAAGATATCCTCCCACAGAACTGTCTCTCACTGTTCACATGTTGGACCCAACTTTTACATGTAGTCCTCATGAAGCACGCCCCTGACCCATTAAGCAGGCCGGTATGGCGGCACGTTGTGATATCCAATCACCCAAACACTACCACTATTGGCTCCAACAGGTGCCAAAGAGCAAAGGGGTAGCCTCTAAACATTGCATGTTCGAAGCTCATGGCCTTGTCCCTTGCCAGCTTGCTTTGATAGCTGCACTTAAGCTGCATGCATATCTTCCCCCACCTATAAATACATCAGCTCTGAACCACTGGTTCCATCCACAAGCAAAGCACTACCACTAGCTTAGCACTCGACACAAAACTCTGAGCTTTCTGCCAAGAAAGAAGGTGGTACAACCATGGTCAGTGCCAAGAGACTTTCTCAGATGATAAGGAAGTGGCAAAGAGTGGCAGCCATCAGGAGGAAGAGGCTCATGTGGACTTCAGCAAAAGAAGTCGATGAGTGCTGCACGTCAGTGGCAGTGAAGGGCCACTGCGCCATGTACACTGCTGACGGGAGGCGGTTTGAGGTGCCATTGGCGTACCTCAGCACGACGATCATCGGGGAGCTCCTGAGGATGTCTCAGGATGAGTTTGGCTTCACAAGCGATGGAAGGATAACCCTGCCTTGTGATGCAGCTCTAATGGACTATGTCATGTGCTTGCTCAGAAGGAACGCATCAGAAGAGGTAGAGAGAGCTTTCTTGAGCTCTGTGGTGAGACCTTGCCACTATGGAAATGGTTTGGAGCCATCCATGGGAGTTAGCCAGCAAGTAGCTGTTTCTGGCTTCTGAGGATTCAGTGTTCGTTTTACCTTCTTTTTACTGTCCATCCTTTTGGATGATGTGAATAGTTCTATGTAGGAGATAGGAAATGAAAGAATCATATGGCAAGTTGACCATTTGACTCTCGTCTTGACTCCTGACTGCTTAGTTTCATAACTCTTCTTTCTGCAACGAATTAAGCTAAAGGGTCTATTGTGTAAGACAAGGAAGTTCAGACTATACTTGATGAGTCTGGCATGCTGATTTTTGCAAGCACACCAAAAATTGAACAGAACTTGGTACTAGTTTAGCAAAATGGTATGGAATCATGGTCATGTAAAGTTATCTTTTGCAATAACTGTTAGAACCTCTTGCAGATCACCAACCTTATTTTAGGCGGTTAAAACTAAAAAAAAGAACTAAGAAATCCTGATAAAATCTTACAGGAAACTGTAAGAACAACAAGCGAACTGGAGTTCACATATGAGATGTTGCTAATGAAACAGACCATCAACTAAAGAGGTGGTGTGAGATTATTGAGCAAGTTGTTTGGACCACTGAAGACCTTGAATCTGCTGGTTCAGCAACAACTCATTATGGGCATAACCAACTGTCAGATTATATATCTCCATCTTAGGGTCCACCCTATATATTTTACCAGGATGTGCTCAAGCACTCAAATAATTTGTATCATGATGCACAATCACAAGAGAGTATACAGTGTGAGTGATCATGTGACAGATCCTTGCACAAACTGAATGCAAACTAAGAAATTATGACCAGTTGGCTAAATCTTGTATAACTATTGCCTGCAGGTTATTTCACATGGGGATGCGGCATTTCCAAGATACACTGAAGTTATTCTCGCAATGCTTGTAAGCTGCCATTACCTCTGAATGCTTTCATGTTTTCGCATGTATTAAGTTGATTTCAGACTCTTCTTTTTCTATAGACTATTCTGAAATACAATGTCTCAACGTAGGATGTACTTGTGGTTGCATTTTGATATGGATTGTCCTTCTTGTGTACTGTTTCAGAGGATCTGATCCTGCACACTCAGCTGAATGATATCCAACATTTTAACATCATACATCATGATGGCACCAGGTTATGACTTGATTGAAATTAAGTGGATGCAATGTTTTTTTTAATTAGACTACTTACTGTTCCAGTCTACTAATCTATTCTATGTATATTCAAAGATAATACTCCATCATGATGTATAATAGAACGCCCTGATCCGGTATAATAGTAAGATTCTAAAGTGTCACAGAAAAAATTATATGTACTGGATCGGGGCGTTCTATTAGTATTACCGATTTGGACGGATTTATCAGATTAGGGGTATTATTGTTTGGCAGTTTTTTAAGCTCATTCATGAACCTTTCTCCTGCCCACTTGAACGTTTCTTTGTAAATTTCTGGGTCTGAGGCCATGTAGCTGTAAAGAAGAATATGTTGACTTGTTCTGTTCAAGTCCTAAAAGCAACCAGTCATTTAGCTCCGCAGAAATATATACACCGGAGGAACAATGTTTCTAACTATTTTTCGATTGCTTAATCGGTTGCAAAACTAAAATTCTTTGCATCCTCTTTCCTGTTTCCAACATCGAACTACTTTACATACAAAAGTACAGAAAATGATGACAATTAGCAACTGCAGAGAATAACATGTTGGCTCCCACAGGTGGAGCTGCATGGTAGCATGGCACCACCATGGAGCCAAGGAACACTTATAGTAGGACATGCATTCATGTTGGATCACTTGCCACTGCCTGGAAGACTGACGCCGCCACCGCCGGCACGCCCGGCACATGTCAGTGGGTCCTTCGTTGGGCGATTGGCGGTGGGGTCGGGCACGTTTCTGGTCTACGCATCGTAGGTGCGCTGCGTGATGGCTCGACCACCTCCTCCACTTCACACTCCGGTGAGGGTTTCAAATCTGTCATGCCGGCTCATGAGCAGTGGATAGCGACACAAACAATTTCTTTTCAGTTACTCTCTTACGAGAAGTCGAGAAGGAGTACGTCGTACAGCTATTTGATGTTTGCTTGGGAATACACTGCCTAATTTCTCAAATCACTGTGGATGATTGCTTCTGACCTCTGCCTTTGCTCTTCTGCTCACTAGAAATTAAGATTCAGTCATATAATGATGCACTTGTAACACAGTAGAATGCTTAGTAAGCTATCATTTGACATATCTTGATACAGAGCTGTGCTCAAATGGCTAAACCTGGTATAACTATTGGCTGCAGATTATTTGGCATGAGGACACAGCATTCCGGAGATCTGCCGAGGACTGGAAGTCATTTCTGAAATACTTGTAAGTTGTCATTACCTCAGAATGCTTTCATGTTTATGCACCTATTTATTGATTTCTGAATGTGCCTCGCCATTAGAATGATAATCTGACCCAGTATGTCCCAAAGAAGAATGTACTTGCGATTGCATTTTAATAGGGGGTGTTTTCTCGAGTACCGCTTTAGAAGGTCTGGTCCTGCAAACCTAAGCTGAATTATATACGCACAATGGGACAACATTTCAACATCATACATCATTATATTGCCCTATTTAAATTTCAATCATATAACCGCCCCTAGAATTTTAGCCCATTTAGGGGTTGAATCGGACTGGTCAGAATCGGATGCCACAGTTGTAAGTTGGAACCAGGTACTACCCACAGCAAAGCACAGACCAGAAAATGCGTGTCGAATGAAGTGATCACATGGTGTGCTGCAAATGCAAACTAGAATATACCTCTTGATATTGTAGCAAGTTGCCTGAGTTGCATACCAACTTGATCAGGGCCCCAAGGATAAGGCATGCCCACAAGCCATGGTCCCCATCAGGCAGCCTTCTCATGCCAAAACACACTTGAGACAGGGTGGTATGGATGGCTGGTCCTGTATAATTTTTTTAGCTTAATGCCTCTAGCAGTTGAAGGAATCAGTACTACAGTAGAGCAGCAATCACCCAACTAGAAGTATTTGCTCCATCCCTCACCGATAACCAAAAATCTGATCCCCCAAAATATTTGATCAAATCATTTATCACATTGTCTGCAGCTGCAACATTGCATGCGGAGCACTCATGGCCTTGTCTCCTGCAGCTCCCGCCCCACCATCTTTTCTGGTAGCTACACATGACCCACTCCTTTGACTATAAACCCATGACCCGCGCAACACAACTTCTACATCTCCAAACGACACAGCAATCTGTGCAAAAGTGTATCACACCATCAGAGCCAAAGTGCATTTTAGCCAAGAACACATAGCAACCATGATCCATTCAAAGAAGCTTGCTCAGCTTGCCAAGAAGTGCCAGAGGCTGGTGGCAGCTGGTGGCCAGCAGACTGCAGACACCGACGGATGCTGCAGCACTGCCTCTGTTGCAGACAGGGGTCACTGTGTCATGTACACTGTTGATGGATCACGGTTCGAGGTCCCTTTGGTGTACCTTGGCACAATGGTCTTCGGTGAGCTCCTGAGGATGTCTCAAGAGGAATTTGGCTTCTCTAGTGATGGCAAGATCAAATTACCTTTTGATGCCTCTGTGATGGCCTATGTGATGTGTTTGATTAGGAGAGAGGCCTCTGAAGAGGTTGAGAAGGCGTTCCTGAGCTCCATAGCAAGGCCTTGCCACAGTGCGAGTTATGTGGCTTCAGTGAAACTTAATCAGCAATTTGCTGTTTGTAGCTAGTGATAAGTGTTTTGTTCAGTTGAATGTAAATTATAAGAGTTGTAGGAATGCAAGGAAGATACATATTTTCTCATCTTAGCAGATCAGTGTGATATTTTCGCTGAAAATCTTGAATTACTCATGATTATTTACATCCACATCTTTGGTGTTCGTACTTCTCTAAATGTTCTAGATAGGACTCAGGCAGCCAGTAGACTGACCGACTTCATTGCTGAACTTTGAAAGACGTTTGCATAAGTTCAAAATTAGATGATTAGGCATTGTTAAGCAAGTGTCCAGAAAGAAGTACGGACCTCTCGTCTTCTGTTTTGTTTGTTTTGTCTTTCTTTTGTTGTTGTGTAAGTTTCTGCTTTGGTCAATGGATTTAGCAGGTTTCCTTCTATTTTTCAGAAAGAGATACGACTACTTCAAGTCTCAACTGAGAAATATTGTCCAGTAGAACTGCTTACCACTCAATAATGACAATAAGTTTTCAGTCCAAAAATAAAATGACAGCAAGTTAGTTGTAGTCCAGTAGGTCTATATTGTGGAGTGTAAGAAGCAGCGACCAAATGGAGTTCACATGAGATGCTACTAATCAAACAGACAACCAGCAAAAGATTTTATGAAATTGCCAGGCAAGTTGTTCACTTGTTTGGACTTTGGACAGTAAACACATTAAAACTGGTTGTTCAGAAACAATGGGCGTGGAAAACCGTCAGACTATGTATCTCAATCTCAGGCGATATCCAGATCTTTAAATAATTGATATCTCATTTCCCACAGAACTGTCTCTCACTGTTCACATGTTGGACCCAACTTACATGTAGTCCTCATGAAGCATGCCCCTGATCCATTGAGCAGGCCAGTATGACGGCACATTGTGATATCCAATCACCCAAGCACTACCACTATTGGCTCCAACAGGCACCAAAGAGCAAAGGGGTAGCCTCTAAACATTGCATGTTCGAAGCTCATGGCCTTGTCCCTTGCCAGCTCGCTTTGATAGCTGCACTTAAGCTGCATGCATATCTCCCCCCACCTATAAATACATCAGCTCTGAACCGCCGGTTCCATCCACAAGCAAAGCACCGCTGCTAGCGTAACACTTGACATAAAACTCTGAACTTTCTGCCAAGAAAGGAGATACGACCATGGTCAGTGCCAAGAGACTTTCTCAGATGATAAAGAAGTGGCACAGAGTGGCAGCCATCAGGAGGAAGAGGCTCATGTGGACTTCAGCAAAAGAAGTCGATGAGTGCTGCACGTCAGTGGCAGTGAAGGGCCACTGCGCCATGTACACTGCTGACGGGAGGCGGTTTGAGGTGCCATTGGCGTACCTCAGCACGACGATCATCGGGGAGCTCCTGAGGATGTCTCACGATGAGTTTGGCTTCACAAGCGATGGAAGGATAACCCTGCCTTGTGATGCAGCTCTAATGGACTATGTCATGTGCTTGCTCAGAAGGAACGCATCAGAAGAGGTAGAGAGAGCTTTCTTGAGCTCTGTGGTGAGACCTTGCCACTATGGAAATGGTTTGGAGCCATCCATGGGAGTTAGCCAGCAAGTAGCTGTTTCTGGCTTCTGAGGATTCAGTGTTCGTTTTACCTTCTTTTTTCTGTCCATCCTTTTGGATGATGTAAATAGTTCTATGTTGGAGATAGGGAATGAAAGAATCATATTGGAAGTTGACTATTTGACTCTCGTCTTGACTCCTGACTGCTTAGTTCCATAACTCTTATTTTTGCGACGAATTTAGCTAAGGTTCTATTGTGTAAGACAAGGAAGTTCAGACTAAAGTTGATGAGTCTGGCATGCTGATTAGCACACCAAAAATCGAACAGAACTTGTTAATAGTTCAGCAAATGGTATGGAATCATGGTCATGTAAAGTTATCTTTTGCAGTAAGTGTTAGAACCTCTCGCAGATCACTAATCTTATTCTAGGCGCTCAAAACTAAAAAAATAAGGTAAGAAAATCCTGTTAAGGCCTCCTTTGGTTCATAGGGTAGGAAAATCGTAGGAATAGGAAAGTCATAGGAAATGAGATGACATGTATCTCAAATCCTATGAGTAGGAATAGGAAAGAAGATGCCCTTTGATTCACATCATAGGATTTTTTTTCATTGAGTCTAGGCTAATGTTTATTTTCCTATGAAATGTGGAGGATAGGAAGAATTCCTCCATAGGAATAGGGTTCCATTCCTACAAACCAAAGGGCTCTAAAGGAATTTTTCCTATAGAAATCCTATCCTATGAAATTCCTACAAGATTCCTCTAAACCAAAGGAGGCCTAAATTTTTATAGGAAACTGTAAGAACATAATGTGAAGTGGAGTTCACATATGAGATGCTGCTAATCAAACAGACCATCAACTAAAGAGGTGACGTGAGATTATTGAGCAAGTTGTTTGGACCACTGACGACCTTGAATCTGGTGGTTCAGCAACAACTGTTATGGGCATAACCAACTTTCAGACTATATATCAGGGGCCACCCTCTGTATATTTAACCAGGATTTAATCAATCATTTAAATAATTTGTATCATGTTGCACGATCACAAGAGAGTATACATTGATAGTGATTATGTGGCAGATCCTTGCACAATCACAAGAGAGTATATATTGATAGAGAGTATACTAAGAAAGTGTGACCAGATGGCTAAATCTTGTACAACTATTGCCTGCAGGTATTCGACACGGGAACGTGGCATTTCCGAGATCTGCTGAGGGCCAAAAGTTACTCTTGCAATGTTTGTAAGCTGCCAGTATCTCTGAATCCTTTCAGCTTTCCACATGTATAAGTTGATTTTAGACTGCTTTTTCTATATCATATTCTGTCATGCAATGTCTCAAAGTAGGATGTACCTGTGATTGCGTTTTAATATGGATTGTCTTTCTTGTGTGCTGTTTCTTAGAGGATCTGATTTTGCACACACAGCTGAATGATATATAAGCAATTAGGTAACACTTTGACATCCAATAGATGCACTATATTTTGGGTCTAGGTCTCATTTTAAGTTGAAACAAGACAAGTAATGCCCACAGGAACATGAAGACCAGGAAACATGGCTCGAATGAAGTAATCACATGACGCACTGCAAATGCAAAATATATATTCCTACAAGTTGCTTGTACTGAATACCGATATGTTCAGGCCAGAAGTATAGACAGTGCACATAAACCATGGGCTCTATCAGTCTTCACACGCTTCAACACATTTGAGACATGGTGATATGGAGGGCTGGTCCATGAAAAATATCTTAGCTTTTCTAACCATTTCGCGTGCCAGTACTACAGTACACTATCATTCAACCAGTATTGGTTGCTGCATCACATGCCATACAGCTGGTCTCATCAAAATCTTATCAAATCACACTGTCTCTTCAGCATTGCACATGCCATGTTTATACCCTTGTCTCATGTGGTCCTGTCCACACTTGTGCTCGTAGCCACACCTAACCCTTCTACTGCTCTCTTCCTTCAAATATAAATCCACAGCTTGCTCACACAGCCACTTCATCCATGAATAAGATAGCAATCTAAGCATCACACCTTCCTGAGAAAAAGAGCATTTTAGGAAGGACACCACAGAATCATGATTCATCCAAAGAAGCTGGCTCAACTGGCTAAGAAGTTGCAGAGGCTGGTGGCAGCCGGTGGCCAGGAGACTGCAGACACCGATGGATGCTGCAGCACTGCTTCTGTTGCAGACAAGGGCCATTGTGTCGTGTACACCGCTGATGGATCACGGTTCGAGGTCCCATTGGCTTACCTTGGCACAGTGGTCTTCAGAGAGCTCCTACGGATGTCTCAAGAGGAGTTTGGTTTCACCTGCGACGGCAAGATCACATTGCCCTGTGATGCCTCTGTGCTGGAGTATGTGATGTGTTTGATTAGGAGAGATGCCTCTGAAGAGGTCGAGAAGGCATTCCTGAGCTCCATAGTGAGGCCTTGCTACACTGCGAGTTGTTTGCCTTCATCAGCTGGATTTTATCAGCAATTTTCTGTTTGTAGCTAGTGGTACATGTTTTTTTTTCAGTTAGATATGTCAGTTGTCAGGACAATAGGAAATGCAACAGAGATCCTATTTTCTCATCTTAGCAGACCAGTGAATTTTCTGAAAATGTCAGTTTCCTGTGATTATTCACATCTGCATCTTTTGCATTGCTACTTGTTAAATGTTCTTGATAAGACTAGCAAGCTTTCTTGTAAAAAAGAAGTCATCCTGCTAGTCAGTCAATTGGTTTCGTTGATGAATTTTGGAAGATGTTTGCATAACTTGAAAACATAGTCAACGGAGAATTTGAAGCTACACTTATGTTTGCCAAATTCTCAAGCACTGATGAAAAAAGATAAAACAGAGGGCTTACACCTCGATTATACATAATAGTGTCAAAAAGTTGAACTTGAACTGGAACCAACCACTGTATGAGCCTCCTTTTGTTCCGTTTGCTTGTCTTTCGTCTGATCTTGTTGTAAATTCCTGCTCTGAGTAATGAACTTGGCAGCTCTCTTGATATATTGGAAAAAGAGATACCATTGCCTTGAGTCTCAACTGAGAAATGTGGTCTACATCTGCAATGCTAGCTAGGTATTGTTTTGTTAAGCAGCGCTTTGGTTGTTGCGAGTCTAGCAACTTGCTGGACAGTTCATACGGTCTGCATGATTTCTTAGTCCCAGCTACTCTCCTCATAGAATCCTAACGAGAAGCTCAATTTTGTACTGGATCGGGCATTCTATTAGTAAACCCATTTGGATGGATTTACCAGATTAGGGGATATATTGTTTGGCAGTTTTTTAAGCTCATTGAGAAACATTTATCCTGCCCATTTGAACGTTTCTTTGTAAATTTTTGGTCTGAGGCCACGTAACTGCACAGAAGAATTCTTTGACTTGTTCTGTTCAAGTCCTAAAAGCGACTAGTCATTTATGTCCGCAGAAATATATATGCTGGAGGAATGATGTTTGTAACCATTTTTCGATTGCTTAATCGGTTGCAAAACTAAAATTCTTTGCATAGAGCATCTTCTTTCCTATTCCCTACTTTGAACTACTTTACATACAAAAGTACAAAACATGATGACAGTTAGCAATTACAGACAATAACATGTTGGCTAACTCCCACAGGTGGAGCTGCATAGTAGCATGGCATCACCATGGAGCTAAGGAACGCCGCCTCCATCTCACGGAGGCACTTCTCCTGAGCAAGGACATGGCGTACTCCATCACCATGGCGTCACAGGGCAGCTTGATCCCTCCTTCACGGCCTGCGAAACCAAACACCTCTTGGACATCCGCGGGAGCTCACTTAAGACCACCGTGCTGAGGTATGCCAATGGCAGCACGAACCGTCCCCCGTCAGTGGTGTACATGACACAGTGGCCCTTTCCTGCCACTGCTGTTGAGCACCCATCGACTTCTGTTTTTTTTTTTTGCGGGTGGCATCGACTTCTGTTGTTGCCGTCATGGTAGGCCGCTTCCTCTCGAGAGCTGCTGCTCTCTGCCACTTCTTTGCTAGCTGAGCAATTCTCCTGGAGTTGATCATGGTTGGTTCTTTTTTGCTGGGAGTGCAGATGCTTTGTTTGTGGATGAAGTGATGCTGTTTTGAGGCCACTGGACCAAGAATTTATAGCTCGAGATATGAGCCCTGTCAAGTGCCATTGATGATTGGGTAAGGGGACAAGGCCACGAGGTTCATTTGCGCAATGCTGCAAGCAGATTAAGGATTATGTATTTCTATGGGCCAAATCTTTGGTGCATGATGGATACTGCCATAGTGGCACGTCTGGTGGATAAGTGACACGAGGACCCCATGCAAACTGGGTTCCAGCATTGTGCAATGAGATATTGGCAGACAAGCCTTGTGCAGGCATCTTGGGCCCAGCCTTCTGATGGATGAGCTACGTCTTATTCGGAATCTTGTGTTATGAGAGTGACACCGTCAAGGATTAGCTACTTATGCCTAGTTGCACGAGTAATGATTTCACAATGATAAGGGGATCCAAGTCTTGCACTCTGCAATTCATCAACACTGAGATTGCAGCAATCAGTTGGAGGGCCAGTGCCATGGGGCTAGCTAGCTAGCATGGTTTGCACTTCAATGCAAATCATTAACATCTTGATTAGGTTTGATGGGGACTACATTAACTGATGCAATACGAGCAAGTTGCTGAACAGTTCCATATACTGATAATTAATGGCCTACCTGACTTCTAAGTGGCATCCATTTCTCAGCGCCTTCTCCGCGTTTTCCTGTGGATCGAAAACCAGCTGCAAGCTTGCAAAACATGGGTCCCGTAAATTTAGCTGAAAGTCATGTTTGACAGGTATGGACAAGTTTTATGTTGCACACTTCCCTTTGAGCATTTTCAGGCCTACTGCCTTCTGTTAAGTCTCATTTTATCCTTTCAAGGTCGTTCAATTTATACGTAACAGCTAGACATGACCAATTATTTACTCAAAAAATTGATCTGTAGTTTGTACTGCTAAATGAAAATTTGCTCTTCCACTTTTGGATTTTATGCAAAAAAAGATATAACAGCTGATATGCCCTGTCTGCCTGGTGAACATCTTTTAATGTATTTAAAACAAGAACACCCTCAGTAATTGCAGAAAATTGCTTCTGTAATATGCATTATCTGAGAGAACTGCATATATTATAGATCATAGAACAGTGGAAGAGTTTTGAGTTGCTGTTAATTTTCTTGAAATTATTACTTCAATAAATATAATTCTTTGGTTTATTTAGCATATAATAGAATCACATATTGCTTCTCTTAATGGTAGTGTTGCTTGTCAGGTGTTAGCTGCTGTGAGCTACTCCCTCTGTCCCATAATGTAAGACGTTTTTGCAAGCTATGTTAGCTTGTAAAAACGTCTTACATTATGGGACGGAGGGAGTAGACATTGGTTTTCTGAAGCCTGAGGTTGTAGTATGGTCCAATTCTATGTAGTTGTAGGTAAGGGGACTCCGTAAGATGCAACACGCTTGGTGTGCTAATATGCAACTTCCATTCTCTAGTGTTCAACTATTTTCCATTGTATTGGACAAGACATGCAAAATGGAGAATAATGAGGCAAAAACTTTGCATATATTCAGGAGCTACAAACTGCAAGCTGCTGGTGCAGCGCTACATGTGGTACTGTACAGCTTGGATATTGGCAAGGCATCACTACAGAGCTCAGTAATGCCCTCTCTACTTCCTCTGAAGCATTTCTTCTGAGCAAGCACATTACATACTCCATCACGACTGCATCGAAGGGCAGTGTGATCCTGCTGTCGCATGTGAACCCAAACTCTTCCTGGGACATCCTTAGCAGCTCGCCGAAGACTGTCGTGCCGAGGTATGCCAACGGGACCTCGAACCGCCTCCCGTCGGCCGTGTACATGGCACAGTGACCTTTATCTGCGACCTGCGATGTCGTGCAGCATGCTTCGTCATCCCTGGCCACCGTCTTGACCCTTTGCCACTTCCTCACCAACTGAGCAAGCCTCTTGGGATGGATCATGGTCATTGCTGGGTGTTCTTGGTTCTCAGGTTTTTGGCTGAGAAATGTTTGGTCTGTGAGTTTGTTGATGAAGTGATGATGTCTTGGCCCCTGAATATATAGGCACAGAGATACGGGACTTACTAGCAGGTGAGAGGGGACAAGGTGCGTGGGCTGGTGGCTGTAAAGGGAGGTAGCCAGATTCAGATCAGATTTTGCTGGGCCATGGACTAGTGGGCTATGGCTAGGCAATCAGTGCATGCTACAGTCTGATGCTAAATTGGGTAGGGGCATTATATGCAACCATCTGGGGTCCAGCTTTTATAGATGTGTTCCCTTCGGTACGGTGTCCTGCATCACGAGATTGGGAGGTAAGCTAGTTAGTCTCATTCAAAAGAAATCATTTCTGAATGACTTGATGACCCTGTCTTTGTACGTTTGCAGCAACCCGGTGATTGCAATCAGGTGAGGTGAAGAGCCAGTGTCACAGGGGACACTTCATATGATGGTCAGGAGTCTTTGGCTCTTTGCTGAGTAGATGCAGAGTATCCTTCACTGCTTTTGGGTGTACTTTGCACTTACAGCTGCAGCTGCATGCTGGGTGTTTGTTGGTTGCTTCAGCAGTGCTTTGATTGCTGCAAATCTAGCAAGTTGCCTGACAGCTCCATATCTCATGGTCTGCATGATTTCTAGCACCGCATGTGACGGCCATTTCCTGGCATCTTCGCTGCATTTTCCAAGGCCTACAACAGTTAGTAACCATCAGGCTGCCAACTTCGGCGAGGAAGTCTGCCCATGGCTTCAGGTAATGGCATTGAGTCCATTTGTACGGAGCTGTCATTAGTTCATTTCACTATTTTTTGGTAGGGACTAGGACTGCAATAATGCAAAATGCAACACACAGCTCATTTGTTAACCGATAGTTTACTTACATGTCCATGACAGATTGACAGGGTCATTGCTAGCAGTATCAAATTTTGTTTGCTAAACACAAGTCTTGATGAGATGTTGTGTCATAGAACTGATTTCTGTACATTCGCTGGTTTTCCAATCCCAGTACAAATATCAACACTTTTATCTTTGGGTGACCAAAACACACTAGCCTTTTCTGCAGAAGGTCAGTTTCCTTTTTCCATCTGTGAAGATTGCGTCATTCTTTGTAACATTTTGGGTCTGAGGCCATATAACCGCGCAGAACAAATTTGTCGTGCTTATGCCCTACAAAACTGTGCTCAATCATTTATCTCTGCAACAAAGTATATACATCGAAAGAACAGTGGCCATTACTGTTTATCTTCCTTGGCTGTTTGTTTGTCAAGATCAAAATGCTTTACATCAACGGTTTCCCTCCCCCCTACCCCCTACCCCCTGCTGGACCACTCCCATAGGTGGCGCCACACCGCTTGCATCGTCATCGAAGGGAAGTTTGATCTTGCCGTCACCGCCTGTGAAGCCAAACTCTTCTTGGGACAAGCTGAGGAGCTCGCCAAAGACTGCCGTGACTAGAAACGCATGATGTCAGCCGTGTACATGACACATCGGCCTTTGCCATCCATTGCTGAGGCGTGTGCACGATCATTCAGTTTCTTTCTCCAGTGCCGCCGCTGACCAGGTGAGCCTCTTCCTCCCGAGGACCACTATCCTCTGCCACTTCTCGGCCAGCTGAGCAAGTCTCCTTGCACTCACCATGGTAGCTACTTGTCTTTCTGGAAACTGAAGAGATTCTGCTGTCAGCTTGAGCTTGGAATGCTTTGTCCTGTGGATGGAGCGATGGTGTTTGGAGACACTTAGCATGGATTTATATCTCAGGGCTGCAACGGGGAAGAGACAAGGCCATGAGCAGCCACGATTGTGCTGGGGCAAGTGTTTGGCGCGTGCTGGAGCTTGGGTTGGACATTGCCTATGCTACCATACTAACCTGTCTAGCACGAAGACCCATGTTAATTGTGAATCTGCAATGCCCACTGCAAAATACAGCTACTTGCAAGTTGCCTGAGTTAGCACAATGGCTGAGCACTCACTGATGACCCAAAATTTGGTCCCATAGAAATATCATAAAAATCGTTCATCACATTGTCTGTAGCTACTTCCACCAACATTGCACACAGAGCACTCATGGCATTGCCTCCTACCCACCTCTCTTGCTGATAGCTACACACGACCCACACGCATATGCACTGTCCTGAGCCCTCTCTTCTTTCGACTATAAAACCGTGGCCTGCTCAACACAAACTTCATCTCATCTGCAAGCAAGATCACCACACCTTCAGACTTTCAGAACCAAAGTGAAATTTAGCTAGCCAGGAGCACACCAGACTCAAACATGATCCATCCAAAGAAGTTTGCTCAGCTGGCCAAAAAGTGGCAGAGGAAGGTTGCAGCCAGGGCCGGTGGCCAGCAAGCTGATGAGTGCTGCAGCCCAGTCGCTGACAAGGGCCATTGCGTGGTGTACACCGCCGACGGGGCGCGGTTCGAGGTCCCGCTGGCGTACCTCGGCACGACAGTCTTCACCGAACTCCTGAGGATCGCTGGGGAGGAGTTTGGCTTCACGAGCAGCCAGGGAGGCAGGATCACGCTGCCTTGCAATGCCGCGGTTATGGACTATGTCTTGTGCCTGGTTAGGAGAGATGCCTCCGAGGAGGTTGAGAGAGCGTTCTTGAGCTCCATTGTTGGCCATTGCCATGGCCAAGATGCATCGGTGGGACCTACCCATCAATTTGCTCTTTGCACGTAGCTTAGCTTTTTTTTTTTTTTGGTCAGACCTCAAGAAATTGTACAGTCCGATATAAGATTGTAGTATCATAGGAAATGTAACATGGCGAATATATCTTTTTCTCTCAGAGAAATCTAATACTTTGCCACTCTAAATCCAAGCACATTATTTGCTGTTGTTTGAACAGAGTACTGGGGAAATAGAAACAAACCATAGCTTAGCTACTGAAAATCTGACATATCTTTGGTATCATAGGAAATGATACAAAATGTATCTTTGTCTCAGAGAAATCTAATACTTTGCCACTCTAAAATCCAAGCACCTTATTTGCTGTATCGGAAAAAAGTAGAGACAAACCGTGGGCTTAGAATTTGTGGACATGAAATTCATGAGCAGGAGGGTGGGGATCTTCTGTTCCGTAGACATTACCCAAAATCTACATAAACCCTATTTTACATTGAGGTCTTTGACATGAGAATGCTACCTCTGCGATCTACCTAACTTGCTAATTGCCAGTACCTTTGAAAGCGTACGTCCTTTTTGTATGCAGCTTATCACATTTTGTGATACATCAGCCCTTAAGAGTTTTACCTTGAGGGTTCATCATTGAAATCATTCATGAAACATGTGCTGATATATCTTGCCCGACTAGTAAGCTGACAGAAAATTGCTTCTGCAATATGTATTAATGAGAGAAGGGTATATGATAGATCATGGAACAACGAAAGAGTGGCTGTTGGCTTTCTTGAAATACTTCATTAATAAATACAAATTTTTTATTTTTTAAATCATAGAATAGAATCACATCTTTGGTAGTTTTACTGGTAGGGGTGCTTGTTAGGTGTTAGCTTCTACGAGCTAGACATTTTGTACGCTGAATCCTGAAGTTATAGTTAATCACTCTTCTGTGCCCTATGGCCTAATGCCATATAGTTCTAGTTAATGGTTCTTTGTATAATGCAACAAGCTGGTATACTAGTATATAATTTCCTATTCTCCAGTGTTGAACTATTTTAAATTACATTTCATAAGAGATGCAAAATGGAGAACAATGAGGGACAAAAAATCTGCATATATTCAGGAGCTACAAACTGCAAGCTGCTGGTGCAGCGCTGCATGTGGAACTGTACAGCTTGGATACTGGCAAGGCATCACTACAGAGCTCAGGAGCGCCCTCTCTACTTCTTCCGATGCATTTCTTCTAAGCAAGCACATAACATAGCCCATCACTACCGCATCGAAGGGCAGCGTAATCCTGCCGTCACGTGTGAACCCAAACTCTTCCTGGGACATCTTTAGCAGCTCGCCGAAGACTGTCGTGCCGAGATACGCCAACGGGACCTCAAACCGCCTCCCATCGTCTGTGTACATGGCACAGTGACCTTTATCTGCGACCGGCGATGTCGTGCAGCATGCTTCGTCGTCTCTCGATGCCGCCTTGACCCTTTGCCACTTCCTCACCAACTGAGCAAGCCTTTTGGGGTGGATCATGGTCATGGCTGGGTGTTCTTGGTTCTCAGGTTTTTGGCTCAGAAATGCTTTGGTCTGTGAGTTTGTTGATGAAGTGATGGTGTCTTGGCCCCTGAATATATAGGCACAGAGATACGGGACTTAGTAGCAGCTGAGAGGGGACAAGGTGCGTGGGCTGGTGGCTGTAAAGGGAGGCAGCCAGATTCAGATCAGATTTTGCTGGGCCATGGCTTACTGTGTAGAGGCAAAGGTAGTGGACTAGTGGGCTGAGCAATCAGATGCATGCTACAGTCCTTGATGCTAAAGTGGGCAGGGGCATTATATGCAACCATCTGGGGTCCAGGTTTTATGGATGTGTTCCATTCGCTACGGTGTCACGAGATTGGGAGGTAAACTAGTTAGTCTCGCTCATAAGCAATCATTTCTGAATGGTTCGATGACCCTGTCTTTGTACGTTTGCAGCAACCCGGTGATTGCAATCAGGTGAGGTGAAGAGCCAGTGTCACAGGGGACACTGCATATGATGGTCAGGAGTCTTTGCAGAGTAGATGCAGAGTATGCTTCACTGCTTTTGGGTGTGTACTTTGCACTTACAGCTGCTGCTGCATGCTAGGTGTTTATTGGTTGGTTTAGCAGTGCTTTGATTGCTGCAAATCTAGCAAGTTGCCTGACAGCTCCATATCTCATGGTCTGCAAGATTTGTAGCACAGCATGTGACAGCCATTTCCTGGTATCTCCGCCTATGACCAGTTGGTAACCATCAGGTCGCCACCTTCAGCGGGAAAGTCTACCCTTGCCAGCCATCGCCGAATACGACGTGCCGCACGGTCCTTTCGTTTCTTTCTCCAGCACCGTCGACGACCAAGTGAGCCTCTTTCTTCTGAGGACCGCCATCTTCTGCCACTTCTTGGACAGCTGAGCAAGTCTCCTGGCACTCACCATGGTAGCTTCTTGTGTTTCTGGAAACTGGAGAGATTTTTTTGTCAGCTCGAGCTTGGAATGCTTCTTGTGTTTCTTGGATGGAGCGATGGTGTTTGGAGACACTTAGCCATGGTTTTATATCTCTGGGCTTCCATGTGCAGGAGACAAGACCATGAGCAGCCACAATTGTGCTGGGGCAAGTGTTCGGTGTGTGCCGGAGCTTGGCTTGGTGATTGCGTATGCTACCATACTGACCGGTCTGGCACGAGGACCCCATGTTAATTGTTTATCTGCAATGCCACCGCAAAATACAGCAGCTTGCAAGTTGCCTGAGTGGCACAATGGCTGATCATTCACCCAAAATCATTTATCACATTGTCTGTAGCTAGCGGCAACAACATTGCCTGCAGAGCACTCATGGCATTGTCTCCCGCCCACCGCTCTTGCTGACAGCTACACACAACCCACACATCAGACCTACCCTGAGCCCTCTCTTCCTTTCTACTATAAATCCATGGCCTGCTCATCACAAACTTCTTCATCTCATCTCCAAACAACATCATAGTTTACACCACACCTTCAGACTTTCAGAACTAAAGCGAAGTTTAGCTAGCCAGGAACACATCACTCAACCATGATCCATCCAAAGAAGCTTGCTCAGCTGGCCAAGAAGTGGCAGAGGAAGGTCGCGGCCGGGGCTGGTGGCCAGCAAGCCAGTGAGTGCTGCAGCACAGTCGCTGACAAGGGCCATTGTGTGGTGTACTCCGCCGACGGGGTGCGGTTCGAGGTCCCGCTGGCATACCTCGGCACGACGGTCTTCGTCGAACTCCTGAGGATGGCTGGGGAGGAGTTTGGCTTCGCGAGCAGCGAGGGAGGCAGGATCACGCTGCCCTGTGATGCCACGGTTATAGAGTATGTCTTGTGCCTAGTCAGAAGAGACGCCTCCGAGGAGGTCGAGAGAGCGTTCTTAAGCTCCATTGCTGGGCACTGCCATGGCCAAGATGCATCGATGGGACTCACCCATCAATTTGCTCTTTGTACGTAGTTTAGCTACTGAAAATCTGATTTTTTTTGGTCGAATTGGTAGAAGTTTGTACAGCTCAATGTAAGATTCTATATCATAGGAAATGATACAAAATGAGAGAAATCTGCTAATTTGCCGCTACAAAGTCCAAACACATTATTTTCCGTATTCGTACAGAGTACTGAAGAAAGCAGTGACAAACTTCTGAGGCGTGGATGATCTGACTGCAACTCTTTTCCTTGGAGAATCGTAGATTTATGACTGAGCAGTGCAGATCGGGGTGGGTTGAGCGGTCTATAGGTTCTTGCAGGGCATGGCCTCAACTGAAACCTGCCTGGGAAATGGGCGCCTCTGCTACCGCCGCTGCCCGCCACCAGTAGTGGCTGCTTCCGGATGTTCGTTGCTTCTTGCTAGTGCTGTTGAGTCCTTGGTGTCATTCTGGGAGCCTGCTAGTCAGATGCGCAGCTAGTGTCTGCAGGCGTGAGCTGGGCGCATCTTGTCGGCTCCTCCACACTCTGGTGAGACTTTTATACCTAGCTGGTGCTAGTCTGTAGCAAAGCATTAGATTTTTTCTCAAGTTCATGACCTGCTTGTTGTGACTCAAGAAGTGAAAAGACGTTTCCTTATGTTCTATCTCAGTCTGATTTCGGTTGGGCACAATGTCCCCAGCTTCTGAAGAAACTAGGAACTCATAAATCTTTTTTGAACTGCTTTTGATCTTCTGTTCCATAGACCCTACCCTAAATCTAGATGAACACTATTACTACATTGAAAGGTTCTTTGATAGCATTGTCATTCTTGTATGCAACTTTAACATATTTTGTGATACACGAGCACTTCTAGAGTTTTACCCTGGGGGTACATCATTGAAATCGTTCATGAAACTTCTGCGGATGTATCTCATGTGACTAGTAAACTCACAGCAAATTGCTTCTGCAAGATGAGGGAAGCGTATATTATAGATCATGAAACAACGAAAGAGTGGCTGTTATTTTCTTGAAATAATTAATTCATTACCAAATATAGTTTTGTGATTTATTATCATAGAACAGGAGCTAGACATTTGCACTCTGAATCTGAGGTTAAAGTAAATCACTTTGCTGCACCTTATGGGCTAATGGTATACATGTAGTTAATACTACTTCATATAATGCAATAAGCTGGTATGATAGTATTTAATTTCCATTCTTCGGTGTTGAACTATTTTCAGATGCAAAATGGAGAACAATGAGCGGAACACTCTGAATATATTCAGGAGCTACAAACTGCAAGCTGCTGGTGCAGCGTTACATGTGGCACCGTACAACTTAGATATTGGCAAGGCATCACTACAGAGCTCAGTAACGCCCTCTCTACTTCCTCCGATGCATTTCTACTGAGCAAGCACATGACATACTCCATCACTGCTGCATCAAAGGGCAGTGTTATCCTGCCGTCGCATGTGAACCCAAACTCTTCCTGGGACATCCTTAGCAGCTCGCCAAATACTGTCGTGCCAAGATACTCCAACGGGACCTCGAACCGCCTCCCATCAGCCGTGTAGATGGCACAGTGACCTTTATCTGCGACTGGCGATGTCGTGCAGCATACTTCGTCGTCTCTGGATGCTACCTGCTTGACCCTTTGCCACTTCCTCACCAACTGAGCAAGTCTCTTGGGGTGGATCATGGTCATGGCTGGGTGTTCTTGGTTCGGAGGTATGTTGCTCAGAAATGCTTAGTCTGTGAGTTTGTTGATGAAGTGATGTTGTCTTGGCCCCTGAATATATAGGCATAGAGATGTGAGACT